AGCCGCGGGAGGAGCTGCTCTCGCCGGTGCAAGACGCCGACCGCTTTTACAGGGGCATTTTGGAGCCCGACAAACACTCCCCCTCCGCGCTGGGCACCCCCGGCTCCACCCTCCCCGACTACCCCAAGCTCCCCGCCGCCTACACGTACTCGCCCAACTATGACCTTAGGCGTGCCCACCAGTACTTGCACCCGGGGCCGGGGGACGCCAGGCTCCGGGAGACGGTGCTCTACAGCCCCCCGAGTACTGTCTTTGTAGAGCCCAACAGGAACGAGTATCTGGAGCTAAAAGCAAAACTAAACGCAGAGCCGGACTACCTCGAAGTGCTGGAAAAACAGACCACATTCAGCCAGTTCTGAGAAACAGCCCCCCCGCCCCCCGTCCCCTCGCCAGTCTCAGCAGCTCCTTCTCTAGAGTATTTGTATTTAACAACCACACGCAAAACAAAGAAACGTAAATGCTGACCTCCCTACACACACACACCTCGCCCTTCCCCCCCCCCTTTAATTCATTTTATTGTAGGGTGAAGTGCCTTGGCACAGGACTTTTCAGCTTCGGGGAATGATTCTGAAAGGGTGTGCTGTTCAGTTTGGTTTGGTTTTGGTTTTTCTTTTCTGTTACTGCATTTGGAAGTCGGAGACCACCTATTGTGTAAAATGGGCACAGCACTGGCATTGTGCGGGTGTCCATGTGTGTTTGGGGAAGGTGGCAGGAGGTTTCACGGTTTCTTGTCAGGTCACATTCAGGATTCAGGTCGTGCTTTTTTTTTTTACAGACATTCTTTAGTTTAATTTTCTCTCTGGTTGAAGAATACAGCGCACATTTTCCCCTTTTAGCCATGGGTGAGTCTAAATGGCTTTTATGGAGAGATTAGCACACCCCGACTTTAATACAAGGTTTCCTTTTTTTAAGGATGTGTTTGTATACTTTCTGGACTTTTGAATTAAAGAAATATATATTATGATCTTTAAAGGGATCACTGTAGATGTGGACAAATCATTAAAGAGTGCAGAGATATATGATCCATAACTGGTTAGTGAAAATAACTTATTGATGAAATATAAAAAAATATTTTATTGTAGCACCTATTTTTATATGCACATTAGCATTTCTCTTTCCTTCGCTATTTTAGGGCCTAATCTTGCAAATTTTTAACCCACTTGAGTATCTCTATTTGTGAAAAAAGTCCCAGCTTAGGCCTTCATCCTGCAGGCACTTAAGCACATGGACAACTTTACCAATGCGTGTAGTTCTGGAGACTCACTCATTGGGCAAAGTTTGTCAAAAGCCCAAAAAATTAGGAAAGAGGATACAGAATTCTTCTTACAAGTAAAAATACTGGAATGTTTGAGTGTTTCTTTCTTTCTTTCCTTTTTTTTTTTTTTTTAGGATGGGGTCCAAAGGTTGTGGATTGCTTTAAAGTATTGCACTACAGTGAGAGCTTTTTTCCCAAATCTGATGTAGTATCAGAAGAACCTTTTAAATCTCTATAGATAATGCCAGTTATGACCAAATCTTAACAGACAATCGGAGACATAAAATCTGATCACAATAGGAAAAATATCATGTTTCTCTATTGAAAAAATGTGTCTTTTAGCAACCTCCTGCTCAGGAGTCTGGTTGGGCAAACTAGTGAGGGACATGTAGAAGGCATTCATTTAATCAGTAAAAAAAGGTTCATTTTTGATTTGTCGGTTTCATTTTTTTCTTTTTTTAAAAAATTTTGTATTAGTTAACCAAAATATAATGATTTTGCAACTGTTGTAGCCAGTTTATGATTGTTTAGTCGAGTACAATTGCACTTGTACAGATCCACATGTTTACTGGCATCCTGAAAGACCAAATGATGGACTGTACACATCTCTATGAAATGTCTTTACCCCTTTGGGCAGCAGGCAATGGCAAGGATATTCATAAACACAGCATCACTGTAAGATGGGACAGCTGATGTCTCATATGTATCCCAGCACATGTGATTTTTTAATAGTTTCTGAATAAACACTTGGTAAATATTTCAAATGTAAGATCCTGAAGTAATGAGTATCTGAACTTTGAAATTTCTGGCCAAAATAATCTGTTTGTACCTTGGATTCTCTTTACTAGCAATTAAGGCTCATCAGAAAGATCTAATGTTCTAGACAAAACATAATGTGTTCTCTGTTTTCGTAACATGACATGTGGTAATTACCAGCATATATAACATGGGTCAGAAAGCAACACAGGGGTATATGTTTCAACAACATATTGAACAGGATAGTTTTATATTTGTATTTTATTTCCTTACTGAGGTGTTCTTTAATATATGGAACAGGGTAAGTGATATTTCACATGTCTTTTCTTTCTTCATTTGGTTATTATATTTAATATTGTTTCCAGGGTTGCTCACTAGTACATCTTTTATTGCTAAAGGGCTCTGTTCTATTCTGAATTTCCTACCCATGTACAATCTGTCACTTTCTACAAAAACAAAGCTGTATAACTGGTCTGTTGGAATTCAAGAAAAATGTTTTCTTGGCATGTGTTCTTCCCTCTATGCCACCCACACCGAGCAAAAGCAAAAAAAAAAAAAAATCAAAAAACAAGCATGACTGTATTTAGCTTGGACAGTTTAGTAAGTGGAGTGTTATTTCAGTTTGAAATGCAGAGCTAAGGAGTGTTCTTTTGTCACAAGAGACATAACAAATAGCTATTCTGTTCACTGCTCTCCATCCTGCAAACTTCCCATTGACACCAGTGAGAGATGTGTGTGTGGCTGCCTGAGGTGCAGTTTTGGAGCCCTAACTTTGAATTGCTGTCTTTATAACTATTGCTGAAACCAGTGGCCTGGTTCTTCTTCCATTTAAGCTCAGTAGAGGCATGCTGTTGTTAAATGGGTATAAGTAAGAAAATTTTCAGCCTTGCTGACTTTGCCAGAGAAAGGCTAGTTCAGAGAGGATTGAAGGAGAAGCTCCTGCAAACGTTGTGTCTGTTCATGTGTGTATATATATCTTTCCTGTGTGGTTCTAAAGTCACGTTTATGAGTTTGCATAGGTGTCGGTACAAGCATAGGATGAGGTCCTTAGTGTGAAAGGTACATTTTGCATGGCATTCTGCCACAAAGAGGCAGCATCCGCAAATGAGTAAATGAGCAGGAATTGCTTGGATTTGTAAGAAATAGCTGAAAGAAATCCCTTGACATTCTGTTTGTGTTTGCATTCTGACACTGCCATTTCTGAGGTCAGTACTACTGCTGCTTCATGTGTTCTACGTGCATTTGATAACTGCTAATGAAGGATTTTTCTAATGGCCTACTCTACAACCAGAACAATTAATCTAAATCTTTTTGACAACTCACCTTCAGCAGAAAAAAAACATGTTATCATTTGTGTTACTGGAGAAAAAGATTAAATTACATCAATTGCCTACATAAAGTGCATTCCTGAAGATAAATCCTTGAAAAATAATACAGAATGAAAAATAATATTCTTTAGTCAGTAATCATCCTGAGACATAGCTGAAAGGGCTATTTGTGAATGAGGACTTCAATGGAAGTAGGAGTTGCCACTCAATGGCTAAAATGATATATCATCTGTGGATAATTATTGTAAGAAAAAGTAGATGGGAATAGAAATTGGCAAAGGGAGATGTCCCTCTGATTCAAAAAGAGGATAAGAGATAAAATAATTTCTTTGAATCAAAATCCACCCTATTTATAGAATTCTGAATATTATTTTAGGTTCATTATAAGACTGGTTTAGGTCAGTTGCTAAAGTGATATTCCCCTCTTTTTTTTTTCTTTTTTTTTGTTTTTTGTGTTTTGACAAGTAATGTTGAGCTTACTGAATCACTCATGTGATCTCACATTTTACTTCAAAAGTTCCTAAATGCATGAAATTCTGTGATGAACAA